GGATACCCGCTGAACAACCTGACACGTGAGGTGCTGCTCACGGTGACCACGGTCACCACCGCGGGCGCGCTCTGGACGACGCTCGCTGGGATGTTCTCGTCTCAGTCTGCCAGCCGCATCAATAGCATACGAACGTCCCTCATCAACGCGCAGAAGGGGAGTCTCTCCGTTGCCTCCTACTTCGCCGCCATGCGCGGCTATGCCGATGAGCTAGCCGCCGCAGGCAAGGCGATCCCCGACGACGAACTCGCCTCCTACATCATCCATGGGCTCGACGCCGACTATCAGCCTCTGGTGTCTGCCCTCGACGCTCGCGTGACTGGGGTAACCCTTGATGAACTCTTTGCCATGTTATCCAATTTCGATCAGCGCATGGCTCACTTCCAGGGGGCCGGTGGCGGCGGCTTCAAATCATTCGCGAACGCGGCCACTCACGGGCGGTGCGGCGGCTCTCGCTCCCGTGGCTCCTCTCGCAACAAGGGCAGGTCCGGCGGCAGCAACCGTGGCGCTGCGCCACCCCAATCTGGTGGCCGAGGACGTCGCGGACGCGGTGCTGGTGGCGGCGGCAGGAACCGTCCGGACACCCCTAAGTGCCAGATTTGCGGCAAGGTCGGGCATACAGCAAAAGATTGCTAGTACAGGTATGAGGAGGACGACTACGACTCCCAAGATGAAGAAAAGGTCGCTGCAGCGGCTGATGGCTCATATGGTGTCGACACGAACTGGTATGTTGACAGTGGTGCTACCAACCACATCACCAATGAGCTCGAAAAAGTAACCATGAAGGAGAAATATCGCGGCAAGGATCAAATCCATACTGCCAGTGGAGAAGGTATGAGTATACGTCACTTTGGTCACTCAATATTTCATACCCCTCATCGTAATATTCATCTTAGAAAAATTCTGCATGTTCCTAGTGCCAACAAGAGTCTTCTTTCTGTCCATCGAATTGCCCTTGATAATCATGTATTTCTTGAATTTCACCCTTACTTCTTTTTGATCAAGGATCAGGCAACGAGGACAGTTCTCTATCGAGGTAGATGCGTTGGTGGCCTCTATCCGTTTATTCCGGAGTTTCGAAGACCAAATAAATATGCTTGTGGTGCTATCAAGCTCTCGTCCACACGATGGCATGATCGTTTAGGACATGCATCTTTTTCTTTAGTTGAAAAATTACTTAGGAAAAATAATCTCCCGTTTGTTGGTGAGCGTCATAATGAGACAATTTGTGATTCATGTCAGAAAGCTAAAAGTCATCAGTTGCCTTACCCTATTTCTAGCAGTGTTTCTACCAAACCACTACAATTGATCTTTTCTGATGTTTGGGGTCCTGCCCCTACTTCTGTTGGCAGACACACTTATTATGTTAGCTTCATCGATGATTTTAGCAAATTTTCTTGGATCTATCTTTTAAAGAAACGGTCTGATGTGTTTCAAGTGTTCAAAAACTTTCAAGCTCTTGTTGAGCGAAAATTTGACAGCAAAATCATCGCTGTCCAGTTAGACTGGGAGGGGAGTACGAAAAGTTAAACTCCTTCTTCCAAACACTTGGTGTCTCACATCAAGTGTCATGTCCTCATGCTCACCAGCAAAACAGGTCAGCAGAACGCAAGCATCGACATATTGTCGAGGTTGGCCTTGCCTTTCTAGCTGGCACATCCATGCCTCTAAAATTCTGGGATGAAGCGTTTTTAACCGCAGTCCATATCATCAACATGCTCCCTAGTCGTGTTATTCATAATGAAACTCCGATAGAAAGACTTCTCCACACCAAACCAGACTATAAGTCCCTTCGTGTATTTGGGTGTGCATGTTGGCCTAACCTTCGTCCCTACAACAACCGCAAGCTCATGTTTCGATCAAAACAGTGCGTATTTCTTGGTTATAGCGCACAGCACAAAGGTGTCAAGTGCTTAGATGTTTCCACCGGGTGAGTGTACATCTCCCGTGATGTCGTTTTTGATGAAACCAAGTTTCCATTTGCCGATCTCCACCCAAACGCCGGTGCACTACTTCGAGAAGAAATTCTCCTCCTACCCCCCCATCTCATTAGTTTTGACAAAGGGGGACTAAATATTGATGATCATTCATTGACTAACTCATCTAATGGCATGCATGAGCTTTGTGTTGATGAAACAGGAGAAAATTGTGAAGCAAATAATCAACAAGGTGAAAAATCCGGGCCATATTTCATGTGTCCCGTGGCAGGAGACAACGCGCCAGGGGATAGATCCCACTTGCGATCGGCAGCGCAGCAGCAGCAGATCAGATCCGCCTCGGGATCGGCAGCGCAGCCGCTGACCAGATCCTCCTCGGAATCTGGTGGTGCAGGGACGCCAGGTGCAGGCGTGCGTGCCGCCCCGCCAGATACGCGCGTCTCCACCACCGACACGTGGGCCCTCCCCGACATGCGGGTCGCTCCAGGCAGCACGCGGTACGGCGCCCGTCCCGTCACGTATTAGCGGCGCGGATCCACGCGGGTCTCTGAAGCTGGCCCCACCGGTGCTGATCAACCGACCGGACCACGCAATGATGAGCGGTCCCCCCCTTGGGATCTTCTGCACCCACCCATGACGAGGCGCCTCAGCCAGCGACCACAGAAGATCCGGCCAGCCCCACGCTGACTGAGGCTGCTGCTGCACCTGCTACTGGGTTCGCGGCAGGATCCCCCTCGGGATCTGTTGCTGATCCATCCATGCAGCCCTCCGGATCCTCTGTGGCTGCGGACTCTGTAGCTCCTCCTTCGCGACGAACACGGCTCCAACAAGGTTTAATTCAGCCTTTAAATTATAAACATGTAACCAAATATGGCTTGGTCTGTTCCACAGGAGAACCAGATGAGCCAGCGACTCTTGATGCAGCACTTCGTGATGATAAGTGGAAGAAGGCAATGAATGAAGAATACATGTCATTAAAGAAAAACAAGACCTGGCACTTGGTTCCTCCACAGCAAGGTAAAAACTTGATTGGTTGTAAGTGGGTTTTTCGGATCAAAAGGAGATCTGATGGAACTATTGATCGCTATAAGGCTAGGCTAGTTGCAAAAGGCTTCAAACAGCGATATGTTATAGACTATGAGGATACATTTAGTCCTGTGGTAAAAGCAGCCACCATTCATCTTGTTTTGTCCATTGCTGTTTCCAGGGGATGGAGTCTCAGGCAGCTTGACGTACAAAACGTGTTTCTTCACGGTGTTCTGAAAGAGGAAGTGTATATGAAACAACCTCCTGGGTTTCAAAGTAAGAAAACTCCCTCCTATGTGTGCAAACTTGATAAAGCATTATATGGATTGAAGCAAGCTCCAAGGGCGTGGTACTCACGTCTTTGTCACAAGATGCAAACACTTGGATTTATCCTCTCTAAGTCAGACACGTCATTGTTCATCTATAACAGATCCAATACATGCATATTTGTTCTCATCTATGTTGATGGTATAATTGTAACTAGTTCATCCGATGAAGCAATTAAAGGAAGTGCAGACTTTGCGTTAAAGGATCTTGGAGACTTGCACTACTTTCTTGGAATTGAGGCAAAGAAGCATTCGAATGGACTTCACCTTTCTCAAGCTAAGTATGCAACTGATCTGGTTAAAAAGGCAGGACTGCAAGGTTGTAAACCTTCTCTCACACCATTATCAAGCTCAGAAAAGTTTTCACTTCTCGAAGGTACACCTTTGAGTCAGGAAGATAGTACAAAATATAGAAGTCTAGTAGGGGCTCTTCAGTACTTAACTCTTACCAGGCCTGATCTTTCATTTGCTGTCAACAAAGTTTGCCAATTTTTGCATGCACCTACTACTGTTCATTTGACAGCTGCAAAGCTTACCATTAGATATGTTAAACATACTCTGAGTATAGGTCTGAATTTCAGCAAGTCATCCTCTACTCTTGTCAGTGCTTTCTCTGACTCTGATTGGGCAGGCTGCCTGGATGACAGGCGCTCCACAGGAGGCTTTGCAGTATTTTTTGGACCTAATCTGATATCATGGTGTGCACGTAAGCAGGGTACTGTCTCTAGGTCAAGCACTAAGGCAGAATACAAGGCACTAGCAAATGCCACAGCTGAAATCATATGGGTTCAGTCTATGTTGAAAGAGCTTGGCGTAAAAGGCAAACAAGCTCCATGCTTGTGGTGTGATAACCTTGGTGCTACTTATTTTTCTGCCAATCCTGTGTTCCATGCCAGAACAAAGCATATAGAGATAGATTTTCACTTTGTCAGAGAAAGAGTTGCTCAAAGACAACTTGACATCCGGTTTGTGCATTACAAAGATCAAATTGCAGATGGATTCACAAAGCCCCTGCCCACAAAGAGCTTTGAAAACTTCAAGCATAATCTCAACTTGATGAAGTTGTGATTAAGGGAGGGTGTCAAACATGCTGTTATATTGGTACGGTATACATTGGCGTATATTGGCGTGTCATCCTTGACCCGCACCAGGAGGTAGTCAGGATAGATATACATGAGTTGTTTCTTTCTCTCCAAGTTCTATCTTCTCCCTGAATATCTCCTGTATCCAAACTACTTTGTATGCGTTGTACGGGAGGTGCGCCCCGCCTATATTAACACGTACCCGTCGGCCTCAACAGGCAAGACGTTTCCAGCTTTTCGCACAGAAATCAGTCAAAATTTCACTTTCTTTTTTTTCGAAAAGGGGGTTACCCCGGCCTCTGCATCCTAACTCCTTTTAACCTTTGAATGCAGGCCTGAAGTTTCAAGATCAAATGATGGAGATTGCGCCGTGCCAAACGAAGGTTAGCTCATTAAAATCTGTATATCTAATTTGCACACAGGATACACTTTTTATGAACTCTTGCCTCCTCCAGGGGCTACTTGGTTATACTTGTTTCGTCACACTATGAGTCTTGTCGAAATTCCACCACGTGGAGTTTGCACTGGTTGGCGCAATGTACTTCATTTAGGCGATTACATAAACAAGTATACACAGTAAAGCAGCAACACAACCAGATTCTTGGCCCATATTATGTGTGTCCATGGTTTCAGAAGCAGCCACAGGACCAAGGGAGCTTCCCCGTCGACCGGATTTTGGCCGCCTTCTCCCAGACTTTGCCCTCGGCGTTCCTTTTCTTGTCCTCCGCCGACAGCCTCGACGCGGCGGCCACCTTGCTGATCCGCTTCATCTCGTCGTTGTACTCCTCCAGCGCCTTTGCTCTCTTCCTCTCCGAATCGCCCTGCAATTATGACAGCCAGAAGACCGAGCTATGAAAAGGGAATAATGGCAGAACAGAGCTAGGAGGAGGAATTCCGAGCAGCAGCAGAGAACCTCTTTGGGCTCCTTCTGGCGCCTGGCCTTGGCCTTCTTCTCAGTCTCCCATTCGGCTATGGTTTCCATCGTCTCGTTGTACCTGGATATGAGTGTTAGCTAGCTAGCTAAAACTTGGCACTGTAACGGTGATTAAAATTCAGAAGATTATCGGTTTCCACAGGTCTTCTACTCACCGCTCCTTGATCTTCGCCAGCTCCTCCTTCTCCCACGCGGCCGCCATCCTCTCCGCCTCGCTGGAATAAACCATTCCTGGAGGCCTGGCTGCCGGTGGCGCCCTCTGATTCGCCGGCTCCTGCTCGTGCTTCCAGCTCTGTTTCCTCTCTCCTGGAAACGAGGTCGTCGGGTTAACCCCGGGTTTCGCCCTCTGATTTGCTTCCTCCTGCTCAAAGTTTCTGCTCCTCTTCTTGTCCGGTGTTTTCCTCGTGAAACTTGGATTGTCCTTCAGGTTCGGGACGGAGTCGACCACCTTCCCTACCACGTTCTGGCCTGGAGTTGGACCTCCTGGCTTCTTTGGCGCCGGTTTCACCGGCCTCCTCACCGAAACATTCGCTGAAAAGTTGACCATGATTTAGCAGTAGAATACACAAAACACATTGCCATACTTGATTTGCCATATGGTGATTTTGTCCACGCTGTTTATGCACGCATCCCTTACCTCCTTGTTCGTCTTCGTCGCCAACTTCAACGATTTCTTTGTTACCACTAAACAATCTTGAGATTTTGCTTCCTTCAGTCGGCCTTTTCATGCTTCCGCCTCTCCTGGGTGGTGATCTCGGCGGCGGGGCGGCTGTGGGCTCATGAACTGTTACACGCTTCTGCCGAGATGCTGTTTTCTCTGGGATAGGCTTCTGCTGAGGTGGTAACTTCTCTTCCTCCATTGCAGCAATGGCATATGCCACTGCCGCCACCGTTGCTGCGTACGCGGCATCGTATTCTTCACCTGCATTCATTTGCCCCGAAGATATCAACTCCACATTCATTTATTCATGATCACATTCAGAGGTCAGACCAACTAAAATGCAGATTTTGATGGTATACCTCTTCCAAAAGGCGTGCCTCGCTGTCGCTGTGGTGGCATTGCCATGGCCTGCCCGCTGCCCTGATCTTCCTGCCCTACACCAGAAAACCGGACCCTGCAAAATAGCGAATCAGCTTTGCAACAGCTTCAACTGATCCTGCAGATACTAGCCTACCACGGTGCAATGGGCAATGGCTGACTCCCCATTTTTTCTGAAATTCTGAAACATATGGGGAAAAAAATCTGTAGAAAGCAGCAATGCCGATGCTAGAAACAGAGTTGTAACAGGTTCCCTTGAGGTGATACCTCGATTGTCTCAATCCACCGTGCATGGCGCACAACCGAACCGTGGGAGAAGAGAACCAAGGGCCTTTTGTTCTGATGCGCAACCTTATGTCGTCGGACTTACAAGCCTATGTTCTAAGCTAAGCGTTGCAGCACATATATATACATATGGGGACATATGGGAGAGAGATAGATAGAAAGATAGAAAGAGAGAGAAGGAGCGAGGCACGAAAGCTGTTATCTTGGAGGCAAGCAAGTGGGATCGCTTTTGCCTCGTTAACAAGTATTTGAGAATCTGCTGGACTCCTTTTGCTTTGCAGTGTGGTTAGCTGCTAGCTACTGCCATCATTATTCCTCTACCTCTTCTGGATATTTGTGTGCCTGTTAACCCCTGACGTAGTCTTTTTGCCTTGTCATGCAGATTTTAGCTTCATTCCATGTCCGGAGGTTTCTTTTTTCTTTTTGAACAATCCGGAGATTTCTATATACATATAATCAAGTCAGCAACGAAAAGCCTTGCTTGCAAGTAAAGATTCTGTGTGCTTTGTATACTGATCATTGATCAAGACATGACAGGAATAATGCGTTGTTGCTAGATATTCGTTCATGGGGTCCACAAGTTATTCACCCAAAGTCAGTCGACATTGTGTCACTAGCCCATCGGTTTGAAAAGCCGCTCTCTCTCCCTCCCTCCCTCCCTCTCTCTCTCTCTCTTCGTTTTACAGATTTTGAATTCAGTTTAGCAGACAACACCCGCCAATACTCTCTCTCTCTCTCCCTCTTCTTTTTACAGATTTTGAATTCAGTTTAGCAGACGACACCCGCGAATCATCTTAAAGATGCGAGTCAATTACATCACCGGTGCTCGAACTTGACGCGAAAAGTCACTTTAGTGCTAAAACTTGCGAAGTACATTGAACCGGTGCAGCAACTTGGCTTAGACATGCAAATACGGTGCAAAATGCAACTAAATACGCCCACGGGGCTCATCAGGCGTGACAGCATGGCGTGGGTCCACTGTCAGTGACCCAAGTTGAAGACTTTTGGCCCCCTTCTTTGCAAAAACACCCTCAACATTTTTCTACTCACAAAAAAGCCAGTGACATAGGTACAAATAATTAGTTGTCTCAGCATCCTACGTACATTATATGACAAAAAAAATTTGGTCAACTGCGGACTCAATCCGAGGACCTGTGGTACAGGGCGTGCGCAACTAGCCACAGCCTTGGGAATTTGTTGTCTCATATGAATACATATCTTTTATACAATTTTCCTTAAAGAATATAAATTAAGATTTTTGACACGTACAAGTTAAAAAAGATGGCTTAGGAACTCAAACTAGCGACCACATAAAGACCTGTAACCGATCCTTCCACTCCAATTAGAAAATTTTCATGTAATTTCATAAAATACTCAATTATTAATTTTATACTATACATATAATTAAATTAAGAAATATACAAATATTTGTATAAGTCATTTAAACAAGTTTGTATATATTCAAATAAATGCTCATATAAGTAAAAAAATCACAGTTTTACTAAAACTAGTCATCCTTTAGAAAACAATTATGTTGGTTCAAGAAGTTGTTTTAATAAAGATTGTGTGTTTTCTAAAAAAGCATGTATTAACACACAAATAGAAAAATATATACAGGTGTGTTATATCGGCGTGTTATAAATATTATATACATAACAATGAAATAACTTACTTAAAATTATCACGTATTATTTTGAAATATTCATGTACTTAGTTTATGAATTATAAAAAATGTTTGTATAATTGACGAATACAAATATTTCTTAAATTATAATTCATAAATATTGTTTTTCAATTATTGAAACGTTTAAATAATTATACACATAATTTTATAACTCATAGGTATGTCCTTTAAAATAATGTTAGTATAATAAAAATATATTAATAATGTAGAAAATAAAATGTTGATACGAATATTCAATAGTGTTAATACGTAAGTTATGTAAAAAAATTATATAGGTCACAAGTGAAAATTATACAGAAGTTGATGGTCATAAATATTTAGTAAATGTTTGTATTCAATATTTTGTATAATTTAAATATGAGCCACGAGTGTACAAAAATGTTCGTATTCCTTAAACATTTTGAATGCTTTTATTTACTAACCATAATTTTTCATGTATAATATTTATAGCATAGTAATGTTTGAACATTATTTTATTACTTACTACATGTATTTTGCAAATATCTTGAAAACAATTATCGCGTACAAAATGAGCCGCACTAACTGCAGTCCATGCCAAGTGAGCGTCATTGTTATAAGATATTTAGGCTAGCTATCCAATATGTCCGAGGAAAATGTTGGGGCTGCAGTGGCTAGTACCTTCAGTGTGCATGTTGCCGTTCTCATGTTTAGACGGAGTAAGACTAATTTTTGTGATTATTTACAATTTATACTACTGACTGGGGCCCCAGCTCGCTGGGGCTTCCTTGTTGAAAAAATAACAGGGCACACGCCCTGCATCTTGCGTCCTGACAATGGACCCATGCCACCCTGTCACGTCTAGTCAGCCCTGTGGGCATATTCAATTGCATTCTGCACCGTATTTGCACAAGGAAGCTAAGTTGTTGCATCCATTCAATGTACACCACAAGTTTTAGCACTAAAATGATTTTTCGCGCCAAGTTCAAGCACCGGTGGTGTAATTGACTCTAAAGATGCAGACTGCTACTTCCCCCGTTTCTAAATATAAGCCTTTCAGAGTTTCAATCTGGACTACATACAGATGTATATAGACATATTTTAGCGTATGTAGTTCATATTGGAATGAATATCCATTTTCCAAGCCCAGGCTCATCTGCACCCGGTCAAGAAAAAATTCACAAAAATACAAACAAAAAATCCTTTTTTTGCATGGTAGATAATTTGGTGCGTGAGGTGCGCTCTAAATTTTAGATCATTCATTTGGACATATGAGTAGCTCTCAACAAAAGAGACAAATTGGGTCTGAACAATACATAAACAGTAAACTTTTTTACAGACCCCAAATTTGTATTTTTTGCCGAGAGCTATTCAGATGTCCAAATGATCCGATATTTGGAGCGCACCTTATGCACCAAATTATCTATCATGCATTTTTTTGAATTTTTCTAGTATTTGTTTTGAATTTTTTCTTCATCATGGGTACAGATGAGGCTGGGCAACAAATCACTGCTATCATATTAAAATCTCTAAAGAATCTTATATTTAGGAACGGAGGGAGTACATATTATTGATTATTTAACAATGTCAAGGGAAGGGAACTTGTTCAAAAATCAAAGTAAGCAGGCACAAACATTTCCCATAACGGTTATGGTTGGTAATGGTCATAACATAATAATCAGTAAAGCAGTGTGTTGGAAAGGGTGCCGATCAAAACTGGTACTCCCTTTGTTTTTATTTACTCTCCATAGTAGAGTTGACTGAAGTCAAACTTTATAATGTTGGATCAAGTTTATAGAAAACAATATAAACATTTAGCATAACAAATCTATATGATGTGAAAGTATATTCAATAATGAATATAATGATATTGATTTGTTATTATAAATGTTTATATTTTTATTTATAAACTTTATAAAAGTTTATAAAGCTTGACTTTGATCCATTCTAATACGCGAACTAAACAAAAATGGAGGAAGTACGGAAGTCCGTGCATGTATCAAAGAGTTGTTCATGTATCAGTATTCAGTATTAAAGTACTCCCTCCGTTTCTTTTTAGTCTGCATATAAGATTTGGTCAAAATCAAACATTGTAAAATTTGATCAACTTTGTTGGAAAAGATATCAACATCTACAATACTAAAGTTATAGGGTTAATTATCCTTTTGCCCTCAGTGGTGTCCATGTACTCAGTTTTGCCCTCAGATGCGAATTGTGCTCAGTTTTGCCCCTAGTCCGTGCGCACCGACTCGTTCCGTGAACTCTGCCGTCTCCGTCAGGTCAATCTTTTGACTCGGCCCTTACAGGTGGGACCAGGCGGCAGAGATGGCCAATTTTATTCAAACCGTTGCACGCGTGGCTTGTGGGACCCAACAGAGAGCCGTTGAGCAGAGAGCCGTTGGCGGGTGTGCTATATAAGCGGGCGACAGCGGCGGTGACCACGGCGACAGAGAGCATGGCGGTGCCACGGCGAGAGAGAGAGCACGGCGGCGGGAAGCTAGCTGTGGAGGGCGCGGCGGTGGGAAGCTAGCAGTGGAGGGCGCGGCGGCGTTGAGATCCCCTTCGACTCCGAGCTCCATGTCTTTCTCAAGCTCCCGCGCCACCTCATGGATGCAGAGCCGGGCGCGTGTGGACATGCCTGTCTTCGTCTGTCCATGGTGCCGGGCGGGCGTTGATCGGAGGGTTTCTCAGACACCGAGGAACCAGAATCGTCCGTTCTACGTGTGCAGCGAGAATGGGGTAAGAATCGGGGCAATTGCACCATTTTCGTGGTCGGGATCTTTGAGCAATGGGTTGATCTGTTTGGTGTTCATGCAGGTGACATGCTTCTTTCTTTGGGTCAATGCTCTGGCCAAGACTCTGATGAATGAACTGCAAGAAGAGCATGAAGAATGGTTGCGCATGCTGCCACGAATGGCAGTGGCCGCACCACGAGCTCCGGAAGAAGTGATGGAGGGCGAAGCACGCACTGACAGAGAGCTAGATGTTGAGCTTAGGATGTTGAAGAAGAAGGTTAGGAAGCTTGAAGATCAAGCACTACCAATACCCATTTGCAAATACTTTTGGGCATTTGTAGGTATGGTAATCGCACTAGTTGTAATGTTGAAAATGTATGGAAAGGCATGAATTATGGAGGAATTTGTAATCTTGAAATTGTTTGAGAAATTCACCTAGTTTAAATGTTGAAACAAAAAGAGAAGAAGTGACCAACATTTAAATATGTTGGAAAAAAGAGAAGAAATTAGGAATTCAGAAACTTTTGATCAATAAAATGCAGCTCTCTGCTCTGCCTTTCTGTCCAAAAAAAAGTTGCTCTTGGGCCAAATTCAGAGCATAGAGCCAAGTGCAGGCTAGACTAATGGGGCA